GACCCCCGGACACAGCAGCGGGGAGCCCCCCCCGCCCGGACACAGCAGCGGGGAGCCCCCCCCGGGCCGGACACAGCAGCGGGGAGCCCCCCCTGGGCCCGGACACACAGTGGGGATCCACTCAGGACCTGGACATGGGGATCCCACCCCTGCCCCAGACAGACAGACAGAAATAGAAAGAGGAGAGACAGAGAAAATGAGGGGGGGGGGACAGACAGAAGGAGAATCAGAGAAAGGGGGAGACAGAGAGATGAACAAAAATGAGAGACAGAGCCAAAGGGGGAGAGACGAGAAGAAAAAGGAGGGAGAAAGAGAGACAACAGATAGAAAGACGAAGATGAGGGACAAAGACAAAAGACAGAGAAATGGGGGGAGAGAGAAATAGACGGGAGAGACAGAGACAGAGTTGTTTTCAGGCAGAACATGGCGCTCGTGAGGAACTTTGGATAAATATCACCAGCAGGATGACACGATCTGATGCGCAGTGACGTCAGCTTTTGGACCCCACCTTTTTGGACCCCACCAGCATTGTTTTCTCTGATGGTGGAAACAGACAAGTCACACACTTCCCTCCTCTGTGACAAGGGGAGAAACCCCTCCAAACAGGCGTCCACAGAACCGCGGCTTATGGATTTTTGAATTGGTCAGAATATGGAATCCTACCGACTGGAAAGAAGAAAAGGACTTGTTACAGAAGCATAATTAAAGCCCAGAGGCTCACACCTGCCAGCCTAGTGACTCAAGAGCCTGAAGTCTGAGGATCACAGTTCAAAGCCAACCTGGGTAGACAAGTCCAAGAGACGCTTATCTCCAGAGAACCAGCAAAAAGCCAGACTGGAGGCACGGTTCAAGTGGTAGAGCACCAGCGTAGAGTGAAAAGGCCAGGTGAAATGTCAGGGCTCTGAGCCTAAGTCCTAGTTCTGGTACCAACACAGACACACACACACAGCAAACAACAACAGTAAAATCCCCGGATGAAAGAGGTAATTAATAAGCTTAAAGGCTGGCATCTAATTTAGAATTTTATGTATTCCAGAAGGGAGAGAGATCTGCAGACCTCTAACAATAACTTCAGTTTAAGTGAAGCAAAGGCTTTAATTCCTTTTAAATAGTAATAGTGTTTAGTTTCACAACCTGGGTCAACTTTGTCTTTATTCCTCTGTTGAGCTAATGCTAAAAAATCAAGGTGATATTGTGTGTGTGTGTGTGTGTGTGTGTGTGCAGTATTGGAACTTGGTTGGCTTTTTTTTTAAGCTGGTGCTCTACCACTTGAGCCACAGCCCTACTTCTGGCTTTTTGGTAGTTAATTGGAGAAAAGGATCTCACAGACTTTCCTGCCTGCCCGAGCTGGCTTTGAACTGAGATCCTCAGTTCTCAGCCTCTTGAGTAGCTGGGATTATAGGCGTGAGCCATAGGGCCTGGCCAATGACATTTCTTTTGCTCATCTTTTCCATTTTTCTGTAATATTACTGCCCTAAAGCTGACAGCCATAGTTGTGCGCTTTTCATATTCAAGCATTCCTTCATATGAATACTTACTGCACAAATGACTGTCATATTAATGACTACAAAATTGACTCTTAAGAGTCACCTATAGATAACTCATCTTAGGTGTTGAAGCCTCAAAGTAAACCACTTGGTGTTTAAAATGCCAGAGACAGCTAGGCACCAGTGGCTCAGCCTGTCATCCCAGCTACTCAGGAGACTGAGATCTGGGGACCACAGTTCAAAGCCAGCCTGGGCAGGAAAGTCTGTGAGACTCTTTATCTCCAATGAACCACCAGAAAAGCTAGAAATGGCGCTGTGGCTTAAGTGGTAGAGTGTTAGCCATGAGCACAAAAGCTCAGAAACAGTTCCCAGGCCCTGAGTTCAAGCCCCAGGACCAGCAAAAAACCAGACCAAAACAAAAAAACCCAAAAAACAAAGTCAGCAACAACACAAACAACCCAGAGTTGTTGGCAAGTATCCACAGTCTTTGGCTCTTGAGATTCTATTCTAGTTTTCAGTTAATTATGGTTTCCTTAGAAGAAGAGAAGAAGATAGAAGATTCTGGAACTTTCCAGAAGCCCAGTGGATCTCCATCATAATGAAGACTTGGAAAGGGGTTTTGGCTATGTTTAGGGGAAAGCAGGATGACCTCTACGATGCTGTGAATGTCCTCGTCATCAGGGTCCTGTTTTGGAGAGTAGATGAGCCCGTTGTGAATTATGTCCTCCGCATAAATGCAGTCCTTATTAACACCAGCGTCCACGTGACTCTTCACCGGCGTCTTTGTGGGGAGTAAATTATATACCTGTCGCATCGAGAGAACCAATGAAACGTTTCAGGTTGTTGTGGTTTGTCACTGTTGAGGTAGTGTTGTTTTAGCTCCAGGCTGGTGACTCACGCCTGGAATCCCAGCGACTCAGCAGGCTGAGATCTGAGCATCGCTGCCCCAGGAAGACAGCTCCGAGAGACTCGTCTCCAATTAACCACCAAAAGAAAAAGCCGCAAGTGGTGACTTAAGTGGTAGAGCATCAGCTTTGAGCAAGAAAAGCCAAGCAAGAGTGTTAGGTCACGACTTCAAGCCCCAGTACTGGCGCAAAAGAAAGCAAAGGACTTATGGCCTGCGGTGAGAGTTCTTTTTCGGGTTTCAACAGCAGCATGCTCTGGTCCACTGCCCGGAGGGCACAGAAGGACAGCAGCGTGGCCGTGACCTTCACACGGATGTCTGAGGCCGGTAGGCTTTATGTGGATGAAAAACCCAAATGAACCTGTAATGCCCAAGATAGGATCATCAGGCGACATTCTTGAATATTATATACAGTCTCAAGTCACTCTCCAACACGAGGCTGAAAGGAGCTTCCCTCCCTGCCCCCAGCTTCTGAGTGCCAAATGAAGAGATTGATTTTTCAGCCAGGCATGGCGGTGCATGCCTGTAATACCAGCTCTTGAGAAGCGGAGGCAGGGAGGATTGTGAGCGAGAGGCCAACCCAAGCCGCACAATGAGACTGTGTCTTAAAAAACAACAAAACCCCCAAACCCAGCATCAGCGGCCCACACCTGTGAGCTAGCCACTCAGGAGGCTGAGAGCTGAGGAATGTGATTTGAGGCCAGCTCCAGCAGGAAAGTCACGAGCCTCTTATTTCTAGAGAACCAGCAAAAAGCCAAGTGTGGAAGTGTGGCTCAAGTGGTGGAGCACCAGCCTTGAGTGAAAAAGCCAAGTAGAAGAGTGAAGCTGTGAGTTGTTTACTACTGTAACAGACACACACACACACACACACACACACACACACACACACCAGAATACAGATAAAATCCTTCAGGAATTATCAAATGAATGTGTCCAGAATAACAATGTGCTTCCAGATAAATTCAGCTTTTTTACTTCTTGTATAACAAGTAAAATATGACATTTTGTGCCATTGAAATAGATCTCTAAATAGGATGGAAAACAATATTAAGAAAGACACCCTCTTTATAAGACAGTGGTGTGTGTGTGTGTGTGTGTGTGTATGCTGGTCCTGGGGCTTGAACTTGGGGCCTGGGCACTGTCCCTGAGCTTCTTTTCTCTCCAGGCAGGCGCTCTACCACTTGAGCCACGCCTCCACTTCTGGTTTTCTGGTGGTTCATTGGAGATCAGAGTCTCATGGCCTTTCCTGCCCGGGCTGGCTTTGAACCACGATCCTCAGATCTCAGCCTCTGGAGTAGCCGGGATTCCAGGCGTGCGCTGTGGCGCCTGGCTCGGTGGTGACTTTGGATGTCTGTGAGGCCCTCAGTTTCCACACTTGGGAAGGGAGAAGGGGAGGAAGGCCAGGCGTGGCAGGCACACCCACCTGGTTGGTGAAGCCGTGTTCGATGTGAACTTTCTGCACGTTGGCAACCACTTCTCCATTCGGCAGGACAGCGTAAAGCAGCAGCTGGGTGGCGGGCGAGAGCGCGGGGTCCCCCTTCCCTCAAGGAAAGAACGTTCTAGATTACAGATCAGGAAGGGAGGGGGTCATTGTCACTTGGTTCCTTTCCCTTGGCTCAGGCCTGCAATCCCAGCTACTCGAGAGGCTGAAATCAGAGGATGGAAATTCAAAGCCAGCCTGGGCAGGAAAGTCTGTGCGACTCTTATCTTCAGTGAACTAGCAAAAAGCTGAAAGTGGAGGTATGGCTCAAGTGGTAGAGCACCGGCCTTGAGCATAAAAGCTACGGGAGAGTGCCCAGGACCTGAGTTCAAGTCCCAATACCAGCACACAGAAAATAGGGCCAAGGGGGAAGGGAGGGGGAGGCCAAGGGGGGAGGGAAAGTCAAGGGGAGGGGAGGCCAAGGGAGAGGGAGGCCAAGGGGGGAGGGGAAGGAAGAGACAAGAGGGAGACAATGGCCCAGGGGAGGGGAGGGGCAGGAGGGAGGGGAGAGGGGAGAGGGGGACAAGCATCAGCAGGCTTGGCACACACACTGCCAGGTGGAAACTCCTCTGTACAACTACTTAAAGATAATAAAGCAGCGGGGCGTGGGGCGGTCTCGGGGGACAGCACGGGGGTCCCGGACGTGGCGCTGACCCTCGGGCCTTGAGCTGCAGGCACAAGAGACGCGAGTGGCGTGGGTTCAGCGCGCACCTGTCCATCCACACACCTGCCACGCAGGCGCACACGCCACGCTGCTCCTGCTCTAGTGCTCCTCCTGCGCACGGTAACTCAGGGATGATCTTGCAGTGGTCGGCTTATATACTGTCTACTGAACATCCATAATTCAGATCTGCATATTCCCACACATATGCAAAACATCCACAATATGCGATATAATGCATAGCGTAGGCAAAGGTAAAACTCACAGATATTCTTTATGGTCGATCCTTTCTTCTCTCCTCTCTCTTCTCTTCCTCCCTCTCTCTGTCTCAACGTAAGATCTCACTGTGTGCCTGAACCTCAGGATTCTTTTTGCCTTATCCTCTCGAGTACTGAGATTACAGTCATGCGCCACCACGCCCAGCCGTCGATCCGTTGTGGGGCTTGAACTCAGGGCCTGGGCGTTGTCCCTGAGCTCTTCTGCTCAAGGCTAGCACCCTACTACTTGAGCCACACTACCACTTCTGGTTTTCTGAGTGGTTCAGTGGAGATGAGTCTCATTGGGAGTTTTCTGCCTGGGCTGGCTTTGAACCACGATCCTCAAATCTCAGCCTCCTGAGGAGCTGGGATGACAGGCGTGAGCCACCAGCCCCCATGAGCCTCTTTTTAAAAGCACAAACGTATAGGGGCTGGGAAGGTGGCTCAGTGGTAGAGCGCTTGCCTTCCATGCACGAGGCCCTGGGTTCGATTCCTCAGCACCACATAAGCAGAAAAAGCTAGAAGTGGCGCTGTGGCTCAAGTGGTAGAGCACTAGCCTTGAGCTGAAGAGCTGAGGGACAGCGCCCAGGCCCAGAGATCAGGCCCCACAACCGACCAAAAAAAAAAAAAAAAGCACAAATGTATCTGTACCAGAGAATATAATTTAAATTACTTGATTTGCATAACAATTGCACGAGTTAACATCATCTGCACTAATTCAGGTGAGTTGACTCAGGTTAATTATCTAAGATCATGTGACTAGAAAGAAAACGGAAATTGTCATTAGTTTCAATTTCCTACTCTGTCAGAGAATGAAGGAAATGTGACTTAATATTTAAAGGTGACCAGAACAACAACAAGGGAAAAAAAGTAACTTTTTCTTGTTTTGGTTGTGGGATTTGAACTCAGGGCCTGGGCACTGTCCCTGAGCCTCTCTGTGCTAAAGGCTAGCGTTCGACCACTTGAGCCACAGCACCACTTCCAGTTTTCTTTTTATAAGACCACCTGTTGGCTAGTACAAAGCCAACCCGTTCATACTAATTTCTTGCACATCTCATTGTTTTGACAAGAATCTAGTCATTTCAGAAGGTCTAGAGAATTAGAAAGAGACACAGTGGCTTCTATTCTTACCAAATAATAGAAGGTTAACTCTTGTTCATCTTTCAGGATCTGCTCATTCAGGATGGAGTGTGCCCACATCTCCTGGCTCTGGCCACAGGACAGGGTACCCAGAACAAGTTCAAGGTGAACGTAACTTTTGCTGGAGGAAATCACATTCTTCACGACGTGCTGTGCTTGCTGGTGAACTTCATCCAGGAAGCTGTCGAAGCACACGTGGCTGTTCTGTTTATAAGTGGCCTACAGGGGCAATAAACAGGATGCGTGAGCCGGCCACTGGTGACCATCTGCTATCAGGAGGCTGAGATCGGAGGATCCTGATTGGAGGCCAGCCCAGGTAGGAAGTTCCACGAGACTCTTATCTCCAAGGAACCACCAAAAAGCTGGAAGTGGAGCTGTGGCCTAAGTCTTGAGGGAAAAAGCTCAGGGACAGTGCTAGGCCCTGAGTTCAAGCTCCAGGACTGGTGCGTGTGCGCACATGCGCACGCGCGTGTGCACACACACACACAATTATAATTACAGAAATTATAGAAAAGTGAAGGAAGGATGATATTGTCTAAAAAGAATTTACTGATGATCTGACATATGAAATGGTAAATTTGCCAGGTGCAGGTAGCTCATCCTGTAATCCTGGCTACTCAGGAGGCTGAGATCTGAGGATCACGGTTCAAAGACAGCCCGGGCAGGAATGTCCGGGAGACTTTGATTTCCAATAAACCACCAGAAAAACGGAAGTGGCGCTGTGGCTCAAGTGGTAGAGCGCCAGCCTTGAGCTGAAGAGCTCAGGGACAGCACCCAGGCCCAGAGTTCAAGTCCCATGACTGAACCCCCCCCAAAACAACGCTTCTATGGAACACCCTAATAATAATAAACATATATATTTATAATTATATATTATCTCTTCCATATTGCTGCCTTTGTGTGAGTGTTATTTATTTACTTTTTGCCAGTCCTGGGGCTTGAACCTCAGTCTCTCTTAATCATCAGACCTTCGTTGTAGGGATGAAGCTCCACTGTGAAATTCCCACACATGTAAATCAGCCCCCCCCAGCGACCCTCCTCCCCCTCCCCCTGCCCCATACAGTAGCAACAGGCTTGATTTGCATATATGCAAATCATGCCCCCTCTTTAGCCCTACCCCCCTCCAAGTAGCACCCACTCATTCCACAGAGCCTGTCTATTTCTTTGCCTTTGATTTTTCTCTTTCCTTCTTTTTTTGGTTAGTGGTGGGACTTGAACTCAGGGCCTGGGTGCTGTCCCTGAGCTTTTTCACTCAAAGCTGACACTCTACCGCTTGAACCTCAGCTCTACTTCTGGCTTTTTGGTGGTTAATTGGAGAGATGAGCCTCCACAGACCTTCCCACCTGGCCTGGCTTTGAACTGTGATCCTCAGTTCTCAGCCTCCTGAGTAGTTAAGATTCCAGTGCTTGAGCCACTGGTGCCTGGCTTTGTACAGTATTCTTTTGTGCATGTTGGTCTAGTACCAGGTCTTGACTCTTGTTCTCATACTTGCTCTCAGCTGGTGCTTGACCACTTGAGCCGCACCTCCAGTCTGGGTTTTTGCTGATCGAACTAGAGATAGAGACTTTGGTTTTAAACTGAGATCTGAAGATCTCCTGAGTATCCAGGATGATGACAGCAGGCGTGAGCCACAATGCTTGGGTTTTCTTCTATTTCTAGGTTGGCCTCTCCTGCCTCGAGCACGGTTCTTCCTGCTTACCACAGGCATGGTGGAAGAGAAGGTGAAGTTGGTGGTGTCAATGGAGATGTTCACCAGATGTTCTCATCGGGGATTGGCCGATCCTTGTCATCCACGAGAAGAATCTAGAAAGAGGAACGTGTTGGCTGCCCATAACCGCTAGGAGATAGTAGCTATCGCCCACTCCTGTTCGCCTCCCCTGCTCGCTGGAGGTCTTAGAATCTGGGAGAAAGTGGCGCTCTACCACTTGAGCCACAGCGCCACTTCCGGTTTTCTGGTGGTTTATTGGAGATCAGAGTCTCACGGACTTTCCCTGCCCAGGCTGGCTTTGAACTGTGATCCTCAGATCGCAGCCTCCTGAGTAGCTGGGATGACAGGCGGGAGCCACCAGCACCCAACTATGAGATTTTTTTTTAATCCACATGAGTTTGAATGTGGAGTGGTAGTTTATTATATCTTGTGTGTGTGCAGGGTGCACACGCAACACACAGCATTCTTGAAACTTGAACTCAGGCCTTAGATGTTGTCCCTGAGTTTTTTCACTCACCAATCCTTGATCTTACATCAAAATAAATTGTTGGAAACATTATATATATATATATATATATATATATATATATATATATATATACACACACACACATACACACACATATATGTATGTATATATGTATATACATGTATGTATGTGTATGTATGTATATATACATATATATGTATACATATGTGTGTATATTTTTTTACCCTGCACTTTTATGGTTTTTAAATTTTGTTCTAAACCAATGGCCCCAGCTAGCATGATGTTAGAAAGACCATTTACCTGTCCAAACAGAGGTAGGCCTCGTCTGCAATAAGAATGGACTTTGGTAAATTTCAGCTTGCTTAAGGCCACTGTGATTTCACAGGATCTGTAACCCAAGAGTTCCAACCCTAACAGACAGACAGACAGACAGACAGACAGACAGGAATTTCATGAGTTCAACGCCATTCAAACTCACCTCCTCCAGATCCAGCTTCACTAACCCACAAACTACAGTCCATTTTCCCTCCCCTCCTCCCCTCTTCCTCCTCTCCTCCTCCTTCCTCTCCTCCTCCTCCTCCTCTCCTCCTCTTCCCCTCCTCCTCCTCCCTCCTCCTCCTTCTCCTCCTTCCCCTTCCCCTTTCCCCTCCTCCTCCTCCTTCTCTTCTTCTTCTTCTTCTTTTTTGGTCATGGGGCTTGAACTCAGGTCCCTGAGCTCTTCAGCTCAAGGTTGGTGCTCTACCACTTGAGCCACAGCAACACTTCCAGTTTTTTGGTGGTTCATGGGAGATCAAAGTCTCATGGACTTTCCTTGCCTGGGCTGGCTTTGAACCGTGATCCTCAGATCTCAGCCTCCTGAGAAGCTGGATGCCACTAACATCTGGCAATGAATAGTTTTTTTTTTAAATATATAATTTTATGGTTACTATTGGGGTGTTATACAGAGGAGTTACTGTTTCGTGAGTCAGGTAATGTTTTGGGCAATGTCACCCTTCCTTTGTTTTCCTCCATTCACTGTCTAACAAAATGACTACCGGAAAGGTGAACTATGTTTTGGCTAATGGGGTGAGACTCAAGAAAGAGCACAGGGCTGGGCAGGTGGCTCAGTGGTAGAGCGCTCGCCTCGCATGCCTGAGGCCCTGGGTTCGAGTCCTCAGCACCACATAAGCAGAAAAGCTGGAAGTGGCGCTGTGGCTCAAGTGGTAGCGCGCTAACTAGCCTTGAGCTGAAGAGCTGAGGGACGGCGCCCAGGCCCTGAGTTCAAGACCCACGACTGACAAAATTAATTAATTAATTAATTAATTAAAACCAAATAAATGTCTGGCAAATTGGCCCTATAAAAATATTACCCAAGTTTTCCAGAAACTCCAGCCTGATAATATGTATATATATATATATATATATGTGTATATATATATATATATATATATATATATATATATATATATGCTTTTTGGCCATCCATTGGAAACAAGAGTCTCATGGATTTTCCTGTGCGGACTGGCCTCCAAATTCAATCCTCAAATCTCCGCCTCCTGAGTATCTGGGATTATAGGTGTGAGCCACTAGTGGCTGTTTTTTTTTTTGTTGTTGTTTGTTTGTTTTTCTTTCTGATACCAGAAAGCTCAGTTGCTGCTCTACCACTGTGAGTTACGCCTGCAGCTTGGCTTTTTGCTGGTTGTATTTGAGAGATGGAGTCTCAGATCATTTTTCTACCAAGGATGGATTTGAACTACAGTCTTTTGGCTCTCGGCCTCCTGAGCCACCAGCATCTGGCTGGGACAGAGAACTCTCACTCCATGGCTGTTCTTGTGAAATAACATTCAAATTGAGGAAATTGATTCAGATCAAGAGGTCCACACAGCGGGACCTTTGGTTTTGCAAATGTGTTGTTTTGCCAACAAGGAGTGGGTGTTAAAGAGAGAAAGCAAATGTTCTTCATCTTGGATTTCATAAAAACAGCTGTAATCTGTAGGAGAGGCCCTTAAACCGAATCTTTGATCTTCAAGATGAAGTGCTTTGATCGTCAACATTTTTCTTTTTTTTTTTGGGGGGGGGTGCAGGTTTGAACTCAGGGCCTGCATGTTGTCCCTGGGCTTCTTTTGCTCAAGGCTGGTGCTCTACTGCTTGAGCCACAGCTTCACTTCTGGTTTTCTGGGGTTCATTGGCGGAAACAATTTCACAGACATTCCTGCCCCGATTGGCTTTGAACCACGATCCTCAGATCTCAGCCTTCCTGAGTGGCTGAGATTACAGGTGTACGCCACCAGCCCTGGCCTGACTTAAACCTAGTTTAACTGTGTCAGGTGTTTCCAGGAGCAGAGCTAGCTTGGCTGTTCCAGACTGGAGACACATCACTGGGCTCAAGGGGTAGAAATTGACATCCACAGACACGAATTGCACTGGAACAGAGGGAAGTTTCACCTCATGAGTGGGCTGTGGACAGAAGCTCCAGGTAATACAAAAAATCAAGCAAGAAAAAGCAGGACAAGAGCATACCTGTTTGTCCCGGCTTATACATGGGCTTGTCTGTCTGCACAAAAACTGGGTTTTCCACCTGGAGGATTTGCATTGCTTTCTTCTGCATGAAAAGCTGACTCGCTCCCTGGACCTGTGCGATCAGAATGGCCGAGGAAGATGGCGACGGTGGAATCTAAAACACAAAGATCTCAGCTCTTTCCTCATTTTCTCTCTTCCTGGCCAGGCCCTGAAGATGAATATGGGATAAGAATCCCTGATTTTACAATTAATTCCTCTGATTGGGTAATCTGACACTACATATGAACTCAATTGCATTGTTCATTTCATATGAATAGATTCAGTAGAAGGTCGGGGCTGGTAGCTCACACCTATAATCCCAGCTACTCTGGAAGCTGAGATTTGAGGATCGCAGGTTTGAAGTCAGCCTGGGCAGGAAAGTCTGTGAAGACACTGATCTCCAAGGAACACACCAAAAAGCTGGAAGTGGTAGTGTGGCTCAAGCGGTATAGCACCAGCCTTGACTGAAAAAACTAAACAAGA